AGCATCAGTGCTGAGGCAGAGTGGAGTTGGAGCTGGGGATGGAGCAGTCTGGAGCTGGGTGTCATGAGCATTGAGGTTCTCCTGCTGATCTATAGCTTGCTACATTCCACTCTTTGGAGTGATCATGAAACAGAAGTCCTATAATAAGAGCAGCAAAACTGTGCCTCCCAGATGGTTCAGCTGGGGTGAACTGTAAATGTCGGACAAAGCTAATACTGTTTTAACTGAGCATTGGACTGAACGGAGGCACTTTTTGGGTAAAAAAAGAGATAAATTCTCTTTCCTCTCTGTTATATTATGCCCAGTGCAGAAGAATGATTGATCATGAAACAGAAGTCCTATAATAAGAGCAGCAAAACTGTGCCTCCCAGATGGTTCAGCTGGGGTGAACTGTAAATGTCGGACAAAGCTAATACTGTTTTAACTGAGCATTGGACTGAACGGAGGCACTTTTTGGGTAAAAAAAGAGATAAATTCTCTTTCCTCTCTGTTATATTATGCCCAGTGCAGAAGAATGATTGGGGGAAGGAGCTGGGGAAATACTGACAAAATAGAAGGCCAGAGTTTTTTTTAAAAAAGCAGTGAGAGCTACAGTAAAGCTGAGTTACTGTTGGGGAGTTCTGCTAACATAAGGCAAAAGTCTGAACCACTGGCCCACAAATAGAAGAGTACAGTTGTAGGTATCATGGGTTCTGTGTGTCCACTGTAGTTCTTCCCAACCCCAAATCCTAGAGAAAACTATGTTGTAGATCACTCTCTTACTAAGGTGTTAAGATAAGTGCTGAATTTGTATCCATGCTGAATGTGAAAATAAGCCTCGTCACTGAATGTGCACATCCTTAATCACGTTTGAAAATGGTTTCAGCAATTAGCCGTATAGAGGGATAACTTCTTTGCAGTGCAGCTAGTTGATATTTTTGCATATATGACTGGCATGAATATAATGTGTGTGATTATTGCTCATACAGTTTGTGGGCATTCTATGTTGCTCTGAACGAGATTCACAATGACTGTGCTATGCAAATCCATGCTGGTTTATCTGTTCCTGAAGAAGCAGCTTTCATAATGGGAGGAACAATTGCTGGGAAACAGTGTACCCTCTCAAAGAAGTGCTGACTTACCAAAGAGTAATTCTGAAAAAGTTTGTTGCCACTGTTGTTACAATACTTTTGATATTTTATGCAAGCTGCCATCTAATGGAAATAATGACCTCAGGGACATGTGTTTATCTTGGTTTTAGCTCACTTAAAAATACATTTAGCCTTTAGCTTTTCCTTAGGCCAAAACCACATCAAATGGGCCAAAGATGGAATAAACACACACATATATACTTCTGAGGTCATTATCTCTTCATTGTAGTTTTGCAGAAGAAAAAGAAAACAAACTCCATCTCTTTGCATTACTTTCAAAGCTTAGCATTCCCAAATGGTAGTGTGTGAGCCTTTTAAAAAATGTTTTCTCTTCAGAGGGTTTTACTTTTGCTTCTTTTTATCCCACCATGCATTATTTGGATGCCCTACTTTGTTACTGCTCTAAATTCATCTTTAAAACACTGAGAAGCTTGAAGAGGAGTTGCTGGTGTGCAATATTACTAACCTGCATCCTCCACAAACTAAGATTTACAGATGAAGAATGTTAATGAAGAGAAAAGTTATGGGAAAGCATCTACTTCACTTGCAATAGAACTCCTGGGAGCTCCTTGACTAATATTGAGATAAAGAGATCCTTGACTGACTGGGGTGGGGGGGTGAGGGAGGAGGGGCTTCCTATTTTTTTTGGGGGGGGGGGGAAAGAGCAAATAAATTCAGCACCCCATCACTACTAGCAGATCTCTGACCAATGCAATATACATAGGTCCTGATTCTCTTCTCATTTTACATCTTTTCCAAAAGATGGTATTTCAAACAATGAGATGGACCCAGGATCCTGCTTAGAGGCAAGAATGCCATTTACTGCAAAACTTTGTTTTTAACTTGCTGATCTCCTTTCCAATTATTTTTACCAAGACCCAGCTTTGTTTTGTGAAAGTTCAATCTCTCATAGCCTGATGTGGTACAGCTGCCGGCATTAAAGAATAAGAAAACATTGTCATTCCTCCCTCATTACAAACTTTAGTTTAGTTTTTCATGGATCCAGTAAGAAAAAAAAATTGGCTCCCTCATTGGATAATGCAATGTAGACTTAAGCACATGCTTAAAAGTTAGGCCTGTGTCTAAGTGCTCTTCTGATTCAAGGGTTTAAAGATAGGAACAGTATTGTCAGAACATTAGGCACCAAAGGTGACCCTAGCAGCTGCACTTTGTATGGATGGGCAAGTGTTATTTGTGCAGGGTAGAGGGAATTATTTGTGCTCAGGAGGAAGACTAAGAAGTTGCAAGAGCTCTGTGCTAAAGAGAAAGATTAGTTGTTTATATAGATGCAGACCAGACTCACCAACAGCTGATCTGAGATGAGGATCATCTCAAAGAATAATCTGAGAACCACTGAGCAAGCTAATAAAAATAATAGAGAAGGGCTCCCTGGGCCAGATTTATCACTAATTTATGCTTTGGGTAATGCCATATAAAGCAGTAGTGATTTTGTCACTTTGTGTTCCAGATAGTCACTTCAGCAAAAGGGAGTCTGGGAGGCAGAGGGGCAAGAATTTACTGAACTACAACATAAAAACACTGATGTCACTGACTTTAAGTGGTTTTTTTTCATATATTGTTTGAATATACAATTTCTCTGGGCAGCCACGGACCTTTCCCTCCAGGGTGTAAAAAATCAGTAAACCTTTCATGTGTATACTCTAACCCTAGACAGATCTATTGTATATCTGTTTATCTGCAGATACAATGACCAGCAAAATAATTTAATTAACCCTAATTAGAAATGTGAAGCTTTCATATCTATGGTGGTGATTCTAGCACCACGTACTGTGTGAGCTACAAGGTACATGCATTAAACAATATACTAAGCAAACCCACGATGGTCAACAAAGCTGGCAGAAGCACGGTCCTACCATACCCCTACTTTTATTCCATTCATCTCTCAAGTACATTTGTTTTTCATTTTTCAAAAATTTCTGACATTTATATAAAAATTTTATTCCTATTCATTTTTCTTGTTTGTTTCCATGTAAAACATTCACAACCAAACCAGAAATCACACACAACACACCTGTCTCAAATACAAAATCAAAACTCAACCAGACTCTTTGAAATGTTTACACACACTATGAACTGTGGCCCAGCTTTGGATTTGTTTCAACACTTGTGGCTTCACATGAGATTAAGTGACCCAGGGTGGCAGCAATTGAATTTTACTCTACGTTTGTCAAACCCCAAACTCAAACTAACATTCAAGAAGAGCAAGAAGTCATTCACAAACTGAAACGGATGAAAATATTTATATAGCTCTCTCTATTATCTGAAATTGGACTTTTTTAGGACTCTGTGAACAGTCAAGGATAAGATGTGTCTTCTCACACCTTGAACCAAAAAACCTCCTAAAAACTAAAACCCCAACAACAACAACAAAAAACACCTAGGAGAACTCTCATGTCTTTGGTTTGTGTGTCTGATTTTTTTTAACATACATTTTTATTCCAGTCATCACTTTCTGTCACTTTGCTTATTTCTTTGTCTTTTGGACTGGAAAGGGGCAGAAGCTCTGTCTTTTTCTCCTAAGTCTATGAGGAGAACTTTGGATACTATATAAATAAATCACGAGAAAGATGTAAGGGAAAAAAATAAACAAAACGATAGCCAGTTTCAGTGCATGGATTTTGTCAACATTTGGTTTGTTCTAAGCCATATCATAGCTCTCTTTTGCTAAGATATGTTGTGAACTCTCCCCTTGCCCCACTTCCCAGGATTTGGCTTAATTATTAATTTAGCACAACACATACAACCCCTCCAGCCCAAAGTTAGTCCCAAGGCTTGGCTCTTCCTAAGGTTCCTCTCCTAGGATTGTTCAGCCCTGGACCTTCATTCAGAAAGTCACTCTTTCATCTTCTGTGCATCCAAGTGTTGTTAACAAACTGTGCCTCCATAAATGGACCAACAGAGCTTAAGTAGTATCTTCTGGCAGCATTCCAGCATCAGCACCGGCTATGGCAGCGCCTGCAAAGCTCCTTGGTATATAATATTGAACATATAACTCTAAAATTATTAGCTACAAAATCCAGTTTGTCACAAACCACAGTGTCTGGGGTACCATTTGGATGAAAATGAATTTTTACTCCCAACTGGGTTTCCAGGAAGAAGGCATAATCTATAATACCAAGATCATCTGGCACCTTTAATCTTCTTTAGGGACACGCTGTCAAAGCTTCAGTAGGGATTAGCTGCACAGCCCATGTTGGAGTCAATAGGAGACATGTAGTTAGATCACCGTGTCCCTGTGAAAATTTACCTCTTAGTTTTTTAAACTATGCTGCCTCATTATACAGAAGTGAAGAGGATTCCTCTGATAGTTCATATAGATAGCAGATGTGCAGGGTGTGTGTGTGTGTGTGTGTGTGTGTTTGTTGTGTCTCCTTTTGATTAGCTGACTATTTCTTGTTAAGCAATAATAAGAAAACATTCCTTCAGGGTTTCTTTCAGCTACAGTCATCTCCTCTGTGAAAGTACAAGAGGGAGAATGCAAAGGAGATCTGTCCTGTGAAACTGTTATCTCTTTGATTAACATTAGAAATTCTGCTGGTTGTTTTATCAAATTAATGTAACTTTCAAGGGGCAGAAAAGAGAAATGCTGGTTTGGAATAATAAACTTTAATTAGGGCAAGTGTTTCAGTCAGAAGACTTTGTCCTGTGTTGTTTTCAGATCTTCCATCATCCCAATATCTGAAAACTAATTACCACCCTTATACAGTAAATTTGTATTTTAGAAATATTGACAGAAGTATACCATGACAAATTCTCCTTTTTAATTGCATCTGTATACCCCCTCCTGTATGTTTTCTGCCAGCATCAATATTCCTCTTGTTGTTTCTTTTTGCTTCTCCTCTCTATTAGAGATGAGCAAAAGCTGCTAAATTTGGATCTGGATCTGTGTTTCAGCCTCCTCGTTGTTGCTGGGTTCCTAGCTCCATAGCGGTGTACGGAGGTCCATCCTTAGCGGCATTATTCCTCTTAGTTCTTAATGTAAGTTCGCTTTCTCCTTCTTCCTTTACCAGGAACTAGCAATTGCTAAGTATCATTGTTACTCGTGTCTTGCTAGAACAGCCACTGTATACATGTAGGGCTGCTCTGTGATTTAAATCTGTCTTCTTCGGAGGGATGCAGGGTCAAGATGAGGAGGGGCCTGACAGTGGTGGGAGTCACCAGAGGAACGCCAATGAGGGCATTCTGCTATCTTTTCCAGGTATACCATGTACCCAGGTGTAACCTTCATGCGTCTTCAGCTGTTTGAGCCCCAGTTTCCCCCTGCTCTGCCCCTCTGGCGTGTTCACATGCACCAGCACTGCTAGATATGCACTGCCCATTGGATGGTAGCTATGCCCAGTGCAAGGATGTTAGGAGAAGGATGGCTCTTTCTGTATGTCCCTATCTTTGCACTGTAGTGAGGTGGTGAGGCCTCCAACAGAACCAGAGGGAGAGGAACCTCACACTGGGCCCTGGTGGACGGAGACAAGCCATACTCACTCCTCCTGCTGGAAGCCAGGGTGTGGGACAGGAAATATAAAAGGCAAGTCTGGGAGCTATAGTCATGGCTGGAGAGGGCACTTCTGCCCACTCGCAAGCTGGGAGACTGTCTCAGACCCCTGTGGAGCTGAGGACTGGCCAAGGTTGCTGGAGCTATAACCTACCCAGACTATGGAAGGGTTGCTAGGAGTTCCGCAGCCCTTCTACCACAATGATTTGGAGGGCCCTCTATCAGCCCCAGTACACCCCGAGGGCAGTTAGGAAGTAGCCTGGGGCAGCTGACCCCAGTGTGGCTGCAGCACTGCCTGAGGTTAGGTCAGTGTGTGGTGGTAAGGATCCCCACTGACCCAGTGGCACATCACTCTGTCACTGGTAGGGCCTGGACCGCGATGCAGTGGAGTGGGTGGGCCTGCATCTCCCCTGCTGCTTCAAACTCTGGGGTAGCAATCTCCTCCTCTCTGGGCCAAGATAGGGTCCAGGCCTGAACCATAGACTCTTGCTGCCCACCCTGATTGAAGGCTTGAGCTTATGAAGGATGGGTTTGTTGCCCATCCCTGACTATAGGCAAAAGCTATAGACCCCTATTGCTCCACCCTGACTGAGGGTCTGGGACATCTAACCTTATTTGCTGCTCAGCCCTAACCACAGGCCCAAGCCCTAGACTCCAAGCACACACTCCTCCCCTGACTGAGGGCATGAACAATGTGACTGTGTTTATTGCTTACCCTCCTGCGATCGGTCCACAATGTAGATAAAGCTAGTTACAGTCTTAATTCGTTACTTCTGTCTATTTTAGATGAGAGCCTACACTACCTTCGTATAGACGTTTAGTACTTTTATGTGTTAGATCTGCCTGAATTCATGTGTAGTTAATTTTAAAAAAAGATCTTGGATAAGGTATCGGATTGGTTGAGTGGAAATTTTTGTTATGGCTCTGGGTTGTGGAAAACATCCTTGAAGATGTTGGGTAACTGTTACCCTTCACCTAAAATAGCTGCAAGGATCAGTCCACTTCCCCACCCCCAAAAAACCTTCCAAAAACATATGCAAGTCCACTCAGAATTAGAACTAAGACTACATCTAAACTACACCCCTCTGTTGGCAGAGGGATGTAAATTAGACGTTTCAAAAGTGCAAATGAAGTGGGGATTTAAATATTCCATGCTTCATTTGCATAATCGTGTCATGGTACTGTTTTGAACAAGCGCCATTTTGAAACTGAAACCGTGGTTTAGATGTGGTTTTTCAACATCGGGGTGCTTTTTCGAAAGATCCTGTACTCCTCATTTTTTGAATAGAAGATTTTGTTTTGGGGAAAGATTTATGGAGGGGAGGGGAAAGGAAAGAGACAGGAACAAACTCAGAAAGAGGCACACAGAAACAAACTGGGAAGGAAGTTACAGATAGATTCTAGGCAAGCACAGTATTATGCTGCCTAAAAGTGGCTTGGGGCTGTCAGCCTATTTGGCTCTTTCTGTGTTCTGGAAAACAGGCCTTTGTACATTACTTGTGAATATACAAGCTTGCATCAGAGAGACCTGACTTCATCATCAATTTCTTTTCCCAGCTGGGCCAACCTGCACTCCCCCCCCCCCCCCCCCCCGGCTAGCTATTTGGGCCAAAAGGGGTAAAGTTATTCAACCCAGCAATGCTATCCCCAGTCCAAGAGTACTTATACATGTGTGTGTTTCTGATAACATTATGAGAGATGAAATAATGTAAATAACAATATTGTCAACTGTGATTATATTCAAAATCCACCCCCAATCAAGATAAACTTGTCAGCTCACACTTCTCTGAGCTAATGTTTCAGCTCTCTTGCTGCAGACTTATGAGGACAGCACGTCATTGGGATAAGTTTGGAAAGTTTTATTTTCAGCTGTAAGGGACAGAAAGTTAACTTTGTCAAATTAAATCTTACTATTTTTCTAGGACACGTTCTGGGGAGGCATTCAAGAGTTATTAGTGAAAAATTCCCTAAATACTGGCTTACTCTGACCCCTGTCTATAATGTTATAACAATCAAAGGAACTCGAGTATAGGTGAGCACACACCATATGAGCCATGGCACAGAATTCTTGACTTCCTGCAGGGAAAAATTTTAATGTTAGATAGCCAAAGGGCTTTCTTTCTTCCTTTTATTATCACAGGCCTAAGTGACTTGACTTTTGGTTGCCTGACATGGGACATCCTAAAAAGGTCCACATTTCAGAAAGTGCTGAGCATTCCTACGTTCCCCCGCCCCTGTAAGTCAGGTCTCTTTTAGGTGTCTTGTGTTAGGCACCACAAAAATTAAGGAACAAAAATACTGGAAAATCTTGGTCACGTAATTTAACTTCACTTAGGGTATGTCTACACAAGTACCCTAGTTCGGACTAGGGTGGCTAATGTAGTCATTCGAACTTGCAAATGAAGCCCGGGATTTTAATATCCCGGGCTTCATTTGCATGTTCCCGGGCGCTGCCATTTTTAAATGCCTGGTAGTTCGAACTACCTGCCCGCGGCTACACGCGGCACAGGCTAGATAGTTCGAACTAAAGCTCTTAATTCGAACTACCGTTACTCCTCGTTGCAGGAGGAGTAGCAGTAGTTCAAATTAGGAGCTTTAGTTCAAACTACCTAGCCTGTGCCACGTGTAGCCACGGGCAGGTAGTTTGAACTACCGGGCATTTAAAAATGGCGGCGCCCGGGAACATGCAAATGAAGCCCGAGATATTTAAATCCCGGGCTTCATTTGCAAGTTCGAATGACTACATTAGCCACTGTAGTCTGAACTAGGGTGGCTAGTGTAGACATACCCATATTGTATAAATGAACACAAGGCCTGAAAGAACATTTACTTAAGTAGATTGGTAGAATATCCTATCTCTATTTACATTTGAGGGGAATAAAACTGGATTTGATCATGATTTGTATTAAAATTACTGTTCCGATTTATTGTTCATGGGGGATGAGTGATTAAAAACACCAAAAGGGGCACAATTATAATTATCAAAACTTCTTTTTACACTAGATAAAGGAGTCATTGAAATATATGTATTATAGTTCAAATTCCTGAACACAACTCTGAAGCATTTTAGTGGCAAATTTTATTATGGCAGACTTTTTTCATCTGGAAACTTGCTTACTGTAGAGCCTTGTCAAAAATGTCTTTTTTTTCATACAAAAATGTATTGGAGCTTGGCATTTACCTCATGGAACATCAGGAGGAATATTTACTTCTGGCCACAAAGGAAGAACTCTATTTAGAAATCTGAATTCTGTTATGCATTTAAAAAGGAATATGTCATACTAAACAAGTAGGCGCTTTCTGAAGCAGCGCAGAAGACTCAGGGTGCTTGTTGTCAAGTGGGAGTTGCACACTTTGTAAACTTCTGCTTGTAAGCCCTAGGCTGTTACAGAGATAATCGGCCTCAGGAAGGAAGGTGACAGCTGCAATGCTTACATGCTATGCTATTGTATATGCCTTACTGAACAATCCTTTAAGCATCACCCATAGCAGTTTGAAAACGTCATCTCCAGAGCATCCCAAGAGGAAGAACCTGAAAATGTAACAGGAAAGGAACAGAGAGGAAACGATAGTGACTAGTTTTGCTATTTAAGGCAGCCAAAGAACAAGGGTTTTATTTCAAAGAATTGTATGCTAAGTAATCTACTATATATTTTAGAGAGTATGTCTGTCTGATTGAGAACTTCTCCTTAAACAGTTAGATCTAGGACCACTAAATTCTGTATACAACTTCCTTTTATCATACCTTAAAGCAACATGAGGACTTGGTTGGCCAGGAAAATGGTATGTGCCTAGAATGGGACGGCTTCTCATAAAAGCAAACAGAAAAGAGACAGAACCCCCAAATCAAGTACATTCCTCAAAATTGACATAGCTGAGCAAATGTTGAAAGAGACTGAACCAAGATGATCCAGAAAAATAGGATGAACCTGGAATAGGATTTCTTCTCAATAAATTTTACTGAAACTAGATAAAATGGAGAAATTTGGAGTAGTGCTCTGTTGTAGCACAGTTAAATCAGTGCTTAAGGTTTGAAAACTAGAAGATAGTATTATTGGAAACCAAATTGGCTATCACCCATTTTGCTAAAACATAGTGAATAAGAGTTTATAGGGATGAAGAAAAAATACCCTTGATGGAATTCCCATTTAAAAAAAAATTACTAAAATTACTTTCATAAAAGTAACATTACCGGTAGTATTTTTGAAAAATATAATCATTCCAATGAAGTGTGTACATTTTCCTTTTATTTAAAAAATGAATTGAGTTAAGGACCTGAGCAATGCCAGGTAAATCTGCTAGTAGCAAAATATATTAAAACATATAAAAAGAGTTGTTAGAAATCCTTACTACTGTTTCTTCAATTTTTTTCATCTCCTGTGCCCATTTTTTTCATATCAAGTGCCTATTGGATATGAAATCAACAGAAGGACTTCACTAAGTATTGATCAGGCCCATAAATAAATAATGATTATCCTTCCTTAAACATATAGTTTGTGTGCATCTTGTATCATCCTCAAATTTTCATGAAGTTCCTTATGCAAACAATAGCTGTTATGATGGGAATTATCTTCCTGTATTTAGAGGCAGAGTTTACCCCTGATTTACAGATTTGAGTCCAGCATATTATCAGTTCTATAATCTACTTATCATATATATAATGTATGATATTCCAGGGTGCATTCTAGGACTATGTTACCATCTGTTCTGCAATATGGGGATACTTTACAATGTTATGATGTGGTAAATCCCAACCTAGGCCACTTGCAAACAGCCAAACAGCATGGAGGTCATACCAGGAGTGTCTGAATAGCTCCTGCTTGCTAGCACACTCCAGTCACACTCTGACTTTCACCAACTTTGGTTGCCACTTGCAGGATGACTCCAACCTACTTCCAGTCCCAGGTTTTCTCAACAAATGTAAGTGCTGTCCTATCCAATCCTCTTTTGAACAGTCCAAATATTGAAAGAATATTTAGAGGATCCCCCTGTAGGGAATCAATGGACAATAGTTTGCTACTTCAGATGGAGTTACCCAATGTCAGGGGTCCACGTCAGTGGGAGGCCACACTGACCCCCTTTACTGTCCAGTTAAAGGACAGTTGCTGTGTCTCAATATACAAGTACTTAAGGGTCCAAGCCTCCCAGTAGGCTGAGAGGTGGCTGACCAGGCCCGGCCTTCTGTTCAGGCAGAGCTGCAGGCTAAAGTCAAGGGTCCAGCCTGGGCAAACAGTTTATACAGGGCAGGGCGGGCAAGCAAAAGTTTAACACAAACGGTGTGATAGCAGTTTAAAGCTCCGGGTAGGTCCCAGCTGGGCAGGGGTCAAGTCTCCTCACTGGCAGAGAGCTGACAAGCACAGGGGTTTTGCCCCACAGGGGGAACTTGCCACTCAACTTGCCTACCAGGGTCAGCTGCTGCTCCTCAGGGTCAGCTGGGGATGGAGATGTTGGCAGGGTATCCATGGATTCCGGCTCAGGCAGGGGCCCAGGTGGACCAGCCCAGCCCAGCCCAGCGGGGGTCCCAGAGGTCTCAGCGTCTCTTCCGGCCGTGGCAGCGGTCTCAGCAGCCCAGGCCAGGCGTCAGAGGCCAGCAGGGGTCCTGGCAGCCCAACCTAGTCCTCCCATTGCGTGTGGCATGGCTGAACCTTTCGCTACCTTGGAGCTGGGGCCAAGCATCTGGCCTATTCAGCTGACAAGTTCTGACTGAGTTCCCAGCTCTCATACGCCTAGTTCCTCCTTCAGCTTCCTGTGGGCGGGGCTGGAGGAGGCAGGACCCACCCACCAAGAGGTCTTAAAGGGCCCTTTCTCTTCCAGGTCAGAGGGAGGCCATGTGGGGGGAGGGCATCATGCAGTGTCCCTCCCTGGGGTCAGGAGCATGTCATGTGCCTTTATACATACACATTTGGGTAACAGGCCAGGGCCCCCGTGTGGCAGCCAGCCGGGCCCACATGCCCAGGGTGGCACGGAACATGCACAGGTTGCTGTGTGCTCCGTGGTCCCTTGTCTCCCTCTTCCTCCCCCACCCTGCCCTGCATAAGGGGACAGTGATGGCACTCACATGTCGAGGCCTCTCCAGCCTCGGATAACACTGATGACATGGCTTCTGTAATGCCTTGGGGGTCCTGGGTGAGTGCCACGCTCCCTCCAGACTCCTGCGACTCCTGGCCATCGTTGTCCTCCTCCTCCTCCTCTTCCTTCATGCCCTGATCAGGGCCTTCTGCCCCAGGGTCGATGACCCCCTGGGGGGCACAGATAGTCTGACCCCCCCAAGATTCAGTCCGGGGCATCATAATAGGAGCCTGCCGCAGCTCCTTTATCTTGATGCACACCTGCTCCTGGGTGCGCATGTGGCCTTTGGTGGCTAGGCTGGCAGCCACCCGCCTGTAGACAGCCATGTTCCTGTGTCTAGTGCGGAGATCATGGACATTGGAGGCCTCCCTCCAAACCTCAATGAGGTCCATGATATCCGCACTGGACCAGGAAGGTGCCTGCCTTTTGTGGCCCCTGGCAGGCTCCCGGGAGATGCCAGCCTGATCCTGGGGAGCGGTGGAGGGCTGGGTTCCAGTGGGTTGCTGGTTTATGCTGGGCTGGGGCAGCAACTGCTGGCTCTGTGCTGGCAGGCTTGCAGCTGGCACAGGCACTGTTGCCGGAGTCTACCCCTTTAAGAGCTCTGAGGCTGGGGAGGGAGCAGAAGAGTTTGCCTGTTTTGGCCTAGAGTGGCCACCAGGGCACCCTAGGAAGGACTGGAGGCCCCCTATTTCGAAATAAGCGTCTACACAGCGATTATTTTGATTTAGCTATTTCGAATTTGGTGTTCTTCCTCATGAAATGAGGTTTACCAAATTCAAAATAAGCACTCTGCTATTTCAAATTTATATTGAAATAGTGGTTTGGCTGATTAGACGCTAGTAAAGTTATTTCAAAATAATGGCTGTTATTTCAAAATAACTTTGCTGTGTAGACATACCCTTTAAAAACAACACTGGATTAGTTTTGATTAAAGAATAAAACAAGTTTATTTAACTACAAAGAGAAAGAGATTTTGAGTTAGTACAAATGAAAGGAAACTTTAAACTCAGAAATAGTTACAACAGAAATAAAAATAAAACACTTTCTAGTAACTGTAAACTTGACTTACTTCAAGGTGAAATCGTTATCCCAGCAATAGGGCTGACCAAATTCTTAAGTCAGGATCTGCCCTCACAGTCCAAAGGGCTAGTTCCATTGTTTTCTCAGGTGAGAGAGAAAAAAAGAGAATGAAAATCTAAGGTGTTTTCACCTCACCTTTTATAGTCCAGCCACCCTTCGAAATGCATTTTCTTGAGGGGTTATAGCTAGATAAAGTTCCTTCCTGCTTTGAGGATGGATATATGGAGTTTCATGGTGAAAAAGGTTCCACGTCATTGTTTGTTAAAACACAAAGGCTATGTCTAGACTGCAAGCCTCTTTTGAAAGAGGCTTTTTCGAAAGATACTTTCGAAAAAGCCTCTTTCGAAAAAGAGCATATAGACTGCAAGTGGAACTTTCGAAAAAGCAAGCCGCTTTTTCGAAAGAAAGCAGCGAGTGAGTCTGGATGCTCTCTTTCTAAAAAGTCCTGTTGGCATTCAAGAACGCCTTTTTTTGAAAGAGCACTTTTGAAAAAAAGGCGTTCTTCCTCGTGAAATGAGGTTTACCGCTGTCAAAAGAAAAGCCACGTTCTTTCGATTTAATTTTGAAAGAACACGGCTGTAGTCTAGACGCAGGTGATGTTTTTTCGAAAAAAGGCTACTTTTTTCGAAAAAACCCCTGAGTCTGGACACAGCCAAACTGATCTATTCCCGCCCCTTTAACTGCCGAAGAATGGTCGCTTGACTGGTTATTGCCAATCAACTTTGACGAAACCTGGCTAGAGAAATCAGCTCATCCTTTGTCTTTAAGAAAATTGTTTACTCACTCCTGAACTAGTCCACTAAGCACATTTTAGTCAACTTCATCTTTGTTCATAACTTTAAATGTAATGTTGCTATATACATATTAATGACCCATGAGTTATGCATTTTCAAATGACAGCTTACAAGGCATATCCTGAACAAAGATCATTACATTGATGTTTAGGTTGTGAATAGAAGAGTTCATTTGGGTTCATGATGAAATTATTGCTATTTCATCAGCCTGGATCTTGTGCTAGGTATTAGATTAGAAAACACTCCCATCCAGTCGAGATTGCCTTTGGAATGCAGGGGAAAGAAGATAGTCAGAGCTGCAATTTAATTTCTGATCATTCACTTTTTAAACATTGCTTATTTAAACAGTGGCTTTAACAGTGTGTGAGAGTCTGTTTCATTTAAAAATTATATTTACCTTTTCAATGTTAAAAATTTCTGATTTTCCCATGATTTTTAATGACTAATAGCATTTCCTGTGTTCTAAACTAGAGCATCACACTTTCTAGTTTTCATTCTTTTTTAGCATATTTAAGGCATGCTTTGATTTATGTCAATACTTTACTCCCTCTCTAGTTCAATGTAGTTATCAATATATCTTTCCTATGACAATATAGCTGATAGGAGATTGTTTTATGTATAACCCCATTATTGGATTTTTTCCTTTAACCTTTGTTAAGAGGTAATCAAAATTGTACATTTGTGGTGTCTTGATGATGATGATACTGATCTTGGCCATCATGTAGGCAATATACTAACTTTTAAAATGCTGACATTTTTGATAGGCTAACCATTTTCAATTCTTGTTCACAGGTTGCTTGGGGGATAGAAAAGTTGGAAGGAAATTGGCCAGCCTAGTCGATGAGGAACATGGAAAAGGTCAAAATGAATGAGGTACAGTACTGATTTTCACAGAATGTATAATGGATTTAAAAACCTCATTCTTGTGAATAAAATTGTAATAAGAACAGGAAATGACATTGTGATTTGAACCTTCAGATAAGGTTATAAGAGGAGATAAATATATTTGGGTGAAATGTCACTGGCAGAGAAAAACATTGAGAGTATTTTGAAATTGGCACTATATCATCTGATTCATATTAGTTGACTGACCCACCTGTGTATTTGTTTACTTAGCTACTTCATTTTGATTGGTAATTAAAAAATAGCAATGACTGCATGGTTTTCCTTCAGTCATGAGTGACTCCCAATATACAGGAAAATTGTAACGGCAATCCAGCATGATCCTTGAACTATGCGTGGGTTTTGTAAGAGCATCTAGGAAAAATCCTTGCACAAAAGCATGACTAGTTACCCTTGTATCATCCATTCCTGATACTGGAATTTTTCCCAGTATAGATTATTATTAATTCCCATGAAATGGTGCTTCAAAATTCAATATATATGGGCATGTTCAATTGTAGGCTGATGTATCTAAAATCAGTGGAATTATTGCACCTGGTTAGAGCAGGTCTGAATTGGACTCACTCTGAAGACTTTTCATTGATTTCAGTAGATTTTGGATCAGGTTCTGGATGCACATGATGATAACGTGATAGTCTGGGGGCTAAGAAATATGCATGCAGTTAGAATATCTTTGAAGGATGATACTCACCCCCTCTGTGGAAGACACTGTTCAGACTCCCTTATATAGCTCTCCCTGAGGAAATGATTTTCATTCTAAGTAGGGATTATTCAAGTCACTCATTTAATTGATAGTGCAGAATTGCACAGAATTAATTGGAAAATTGGCAGACTCCAGCTGCACTGATCTATGTACACCTCCAGCCAAGGTAAAAGAAATGCTCCTTAGATTCTTGGCTTCAGACGAGGACTAAGGCTCTGGCTAATATGGACACCTGCGTTCAGAAAATCTTAATTAAACCTCCCTGAATGCAAATTACAAGATGAACATTGAAAGTATTTGCAGCACCTGGATGCCCAAGCCAAAATGTATTAAATTTTCTACATTTTAAAGGGAAATAATTTGGTTTGAAACAGATTTGAATAGCGGCCTAATGATAGAGGCTGATCAAATGATTCCATTGTTTTGGTACTATTTAAAACTACCAGCTGATGTTCTGTACTTATGCTGCTCACATCACTGTTGAAAGAGCTCAGCACAATACTAACGGCATGGCTGATGGTGAGCGATTTAGGTGCATACAACATACCTGCTGTAATACAGAATGTACCCAGGTACATCCTAGCAGGTCACCCATTTCATTGGGAAAATACCAGTCCACAGCAGGTGAAAACAAAGCCACTACAATCTTCCACAAAGTAATGACACCGCTATTTGATTGCTTCTCTCTCTATGAGACAGTTTAGAAGTGCTAGGTAGATCCCGATAAATGGAGTAAAGAAGTGGAGGAATGCAATGTGGAGAAACTGCAAGTACTCTATCTTCTATCATGGCTTCAAACTCTCTGTTCTCCTGTAATCTCTTACTTTATTAGATGTTGTGACCAAATATGCCACTAGAAGCATGCATGTGGCAAACGTATAACCAACCTACATGGCCCTTAAGTGATGTTTTTTCCAGTACCTCGCAGGGTCAGGTGCCACAAAAATATAATAGGCTAGTTTTTCCAACAATGTGTGTCAAATGCATATGCAAACATTTCTCTCAATACAGTATAATTTTCATGGGTGTAGCTTCAGAATCACTAAATATCCTGAGACTTTGGAAAGCTTCTGAAGAAACTGCCGGAACCTTAAGGCTCAGGCCAAAATCCTGGTTTTTATAAGGCATGCAGGAAACCATTTATGCTCCATCAACTGTACAGAAGAAAATATAACCCTGATGCAGGCTGTATGCAGTCCCAATTCCTACTAGATCATTGCCCCCCCCCCATTAAAAAGCAGTCCACTGTTTATTCTTTGTCTGTCTTTGAAAAGAGTCAGTCTTTGGTCATCCTGGAGCTGTGTTCATTCAGGGGGTGCTGGAATAATTTGTATAGTGGGGGTGCTGAGATCCATTAACTCAAACTGTAAATCCTGTGTATCATGGAAACCACTTCAAGCCAGGGAGTACACAGCACCCTCATCATCCCTAGCTCCAGCACCTATGTGTTCAGTCAAGTTTTGCAAGCATAGAGAAAGGAGAGAAAAGCTTGCTACATGCAACACAACAATCCAAATCCATCCTGGGTGTAACTCCATTGACTCCAGGTCTTCCTGCTGTTCCATACAGGGGGGAAAAAGTGCTTTGAAAATACTGAAACCACCCACTTATGAACATGTTAGCCAATCAGAGAAGATGCCCTTAATTTCAGTGGCTTAAACAATCCACCAAAACAGAAGTGTTTTTCTCTTTTAATCAGCTGAAAGCATTTTTGCAGTCCCTTCTTTGAACATTTTATGGAAGTATGACCAAAAGATTTCCTTAAGTTATTGACTTCAGAATCTTCATCTTGATGAAAGAGCCTTCTAGCCATTTTCCACTGTTCTGCTTGTCTGAGCTTTTTTAGGGCTGCTCTGGAAATGGAGCTGTTTTGGAATTTTGGAGGTGGGGTGGAGAGCTCCCACATTAACTGAAGAAAAGCATCTGTGTTTGGCTCTCCACTTCTCACTGTCTATAATATTACACAGATGGCACTGGACTACAGCCAATCTGGCTATAGCATGATTCCCTCTGGTGGATGCTGGCAGGGTGTCTCCAGGATGGTAGTGTCTCTTCTCTCTATGTTCTGTGCCTTTCTCTCTAGATCAAATATTTTTCTGGCAGAGCATGTCCAACATAATTAATAATCTCATTTACTTTGAGCCTAAACTTTTACTTTTATTAGGCTTCTCATCTTTTGGAAGTTCTTACTTCTACGCTGTCTCTTTGGATTCCCCTGACAAGTCCCGCTGCCAAGAGAAAAAAAACTGAATGTCACTGGCTATCAAAGGAGCTTTTTTACTGTTTTTGAATGGGGACAAGGTACATCTTTAGTCGCCATCTCTAAAAGAAGGTCCTGTATGTCAAGGCAAATGTCATGTAGTTCCACTAAAGCTGGAATTCAGTTTTCTGAGCTGAAAACATAACACCACTTGCTGACTATGAGATGTTGGCTTTAACCAGAAGGCCTCCAAAGGACTGTTTCTCAGTTTCCGTTCAGAGATTCTGTCTCATTTTATACCGTTGTTCCTTTGACCAAGTGGCTGACAAAATTTGGGCCTTGGAAGATAGTTACCCTATGGATGAGAAATCAGTGGAACAGAGTCAAAGTATTTACAGAGTGTAATTTGTTTATTTACAGTATGTCCCTGAGGGCATGTCTACACTACAAAGTGAGTTCGAACTAACGGACCTCATTCCACGAGGATTAAGCCTAGTTCGAACTTACTAGTTCGAATTAAGGGCTGTGTAGCCCCTTAATTCGAACTAGTGGGAGGCTAGCCCTCCCCAGCTTTCCCTGGTGGCCACTCTGGCGAACACCAGGGAAACTCGTCTGCCCCCCTCCCGGCCCCGGACCCCTTAAAGGGGCACGGGCTGGCTACTGTGCCCGTGCCAGGTGCAAGCCTGCCAGCACCCAGCCAGCAGACCCTGCACCTGGCAAGGATCGAGCCACCAACCCGATGCCCCCCAGCCCTCCCCCTCTTCTCGGGACCAGGCTGGGGGGGCCCCGCAGGGT